GTTTATTCTTAATGCACCTTTTTCCTCCTTGTTTGCACCTTCTTTAATTACTATGCCAATATGTGACCAGTGAATTTCCCTGCTGTGAAATCAATAAAGCTCATCTTATCTAATCTAATCTAATATAATCTAACATTTCAAAACACGCTTTTGGTTCACGCGACTGCTGCTTATCACCACTCCCGCCCGCACCCGCAGCTTTCAATATTTGTCCCTCACCGCACAGCTTTGTATTGGGTCTCACGAGTCCCGCAGGAGTGCAGGGCTCTACCTCACAGACTCCCACATACTGGTGTAAGCTGTCTCTGGGATTCCACAGTAGTAGCTGCCTTAGTCCAGGTCGCCTCTTGGGTTTTATTTTATTTTCTTTATGTTATTTTTTTTATGTAAACCTAGTAGAATTTTACCCTTATATATATATGCTTCTCTGATTGGTTGATGTGGTTTGTCGAGCTGCAAAAGTTCAAATTTTCAAACTCTAGCATTTGCTGCTTGTGAAGCGCATCATGCAATGCAGATGTTAGAAAGCTCATGAGGCACTGCTCAGATGTTCAGATTCAAGATATGCTGCTTCTGCTGCTCGAGATGCATTTCAACCATATACTTTATATGTAAACAGACTGCTTCAGTTGCTCAAATTCAGTTTGAACGCAGCATAATGGGATATACATGAGGCTTTGGCTGCAGAAAATTCCTCTACAAAATCTCCTTTGCATGTAATGACGATCAGCAACTGCATATTTAGAACTTCTGATAAGGGGCGAAAAAACCTCTGCTCCCCAAATGAGAATTACATCACAAATCACACAACAGGGACAGCCAAAGATAGGCACCTGCCCCACTGTTACCCTGACAAGGACTAAGTGGGAGAAAACGGATCTCACAACATGAAGGATACAAAACAAAAGAGTGTGCTGCTATTATCACAGCTGCTGTGCTATGTAGCAAAACATACACTCTTATTTACAGCTGTAATTTTCCAATGCTGGTCCTTTAGGCAAAGTGTCCTGCAGGTTTTGGTTGATCTGGCTCAAACACAAACAAATGATTCAAAGGAATGAATAACATCAATGGCTTTTCGACAAGTCCTCTTAAGGAACTTTACTGACTCAATTGAGTGTAGGTGTGCTTAAATACCTTAGCATCCAAAACATGCAGGCAGGATGCCCTAAGGACACAGAAGTGGGAAACACTGATACTGAAATTGGGCAATGAGAATCATATTCGAGTCCTTTATATCAACAGCACATTTAGCCAGCTGCATGTAACCATATGTCATTTATAAAGCTGAAATAATTAAAAAATAAAATAACTCCTTTACCAAAATGTTTAATCACACTGGGCAATTAATTAGCAATATAATCACAGTTAAACAAAAGGCAATTTTCTAATCCCAAAGCAACTCAATTCTGGTCACATTGCATTTAACAAGAGTGATGCTACGTTCACACTAAATGTGACTTTAGCAGCAGGTTTAAATGCAAAGTCTATGGTTGAAGCACATCAAGGTGCATCAGATGGTACTCCAGCACATCAGGGGCAGCTAGAACTGCGCACCTTGCCGCATCTGAAGCAGCGCCTCATGAGCTTTTTAGCGTCTGAGGCACGTGATGTGCTTCAATTAGCAGATGTTGGAGCTGGAAAATTTGAACATTTGAACATGAACAACTGGTGTTAGCAGTTTGTACCATAACAGTAGTGGAAATCCCCCGAGAGGCTTGTGGCCTAAGGCTGGGCGTGCTGGGGGTGGATTCCCAGTGACAGCGTACCGCCAGTATCTGGGGGTCTGTGCAACTCTGACAGCTAAATAATATTTTAAGGTAGGATAATAAGCTTGATGACCTGACTTCACAGGCAATGTTTTGAGGTGTAATTTCCTGCTTAAGAACATACTGAAATTACTTTTAACCAACTTATTACACAAAATATACTAAAGCCTTTGAACACAGGAGCAGCACAAGCATCAGATGCATCTGCACACGCTTTACTTAATGCACCCATCATATTACTGCTAAAGATTAGAAGTTATTTTAAAAAAAGAAAAAAAGGCAAAGCCCTACTTCAGAACCAGACTACTGCATCTCAAACTCTTATATCAGAAATATACTGGGAACTACACGTAAAGCTAAGGAAAATGCAGCAATAAAGTCTGTGGGACGGTTTATATCGATACTAACGAGGCAGTGAGAGGGGACTCTCAGAGCAGGAACTGTGAAGTTTGTTAAAGCCCCAAAGAAGAGAGTCAGCATGAGTCTGTCCTTCCTGCTATACATGCACTATGTGACTCCAAACCTAACCGTTTTCCCTTGCCATTGACAGATTTCATTTTGTATTCCCCCCCCCCCAAAACAGATGTTTTACTTTGTAAACGTCTCTCTCGCATTGGTTTAAACATGAACCGATTGGGTCACGTACTCATTTACGATAGTCCAGCTGCATTTCACGCAGCAAGCATTACGGTTCAGTGCAAAGTTATCCATACAAAGCATAAAGTAACTTAATCATACAAAGATTTTCAGCAACATTGTACCATAACTAATTAAAATATAAGTGCCACCGTTGGCATTTTTTGTTAATTTTTTTTTTCTACCCTGCTGCTTTGTCTATACGTTTGTGTCGAACCCGTGTGCGTTCCACATTATTGTACCTGAGGTTGTGCAGGCGACGGTGTATCAGAGTTCTGAGTGGGTTGCTGGCTCTGTTCTTGTCGCTGAGGGATAGCAGGGATGGATCCCGATCCACCACCTGCTCCGTCTTGTGCTACTGGGCCTTGATGAGAAAGAGCTGCCTTCAGCCTCTACAGTAACACACAGGCAATCCACCATGTTAGTGTTAACCCCTCTAAGAACAACTGTTTAAATTCCTTTATAAATCACACCTGTACCTCAAGGTTAAGTGTGATTAGGTGGCTCCACCTTATGATTGACCCTCCCACATTGAACCATAAAAAGTCTAGTCTAAAGTCATAACGATGCATAAATGTCTAGGGTAAATGTTATTTATTGGTTACCATTGGCATTTTGTTATTTGTCTAAATATTTTTAATTGTATTTGAACCACAAATTGCTTGTTTTTATTAAACTGTGTTTCTTTAGAACCGTGCAGTCCCCTACACTTCCCATTTTTTCCTACATTGAAGGAGTGTGCACAGATGTTTTCTTGAAAATGTGTGATTATAAGGGATGGCATGTGTCTAGCAGGTTGGTTTCTCCAATATTAGACCCATCTGAGCACATTTATCCAGAGCAATAGGGGAGTATCATCTGCTAATAAGAAACATCTTTCCCCCTAATTTTGTTGGCCTAGTGGGTTAGAGCACTGCGCTTGTGCTCTGAGAAAGTTGCAAGTACCCAGTTCCATCCCCACAGCCTGCACTCTGGGTTCCTGAACAAGACCCTTAACCCCACACTGCTCCCCACGAGCCACACAATGGTAGCCCCCTGCATCCCCCTTTACAAGGCTTCCAGAATAGTCTAAGGATCCACTCTGCTCGATTAGAACAGGCATTTAAGCAATATTTTATTGTTTACTGTAATCAGTGGGGATTCCTGACACCTTCTTACATTTCTAGAAATGTAATGTTGGGCAAAACATTTAAATATTTTGCAGACTTTGAGATAAAATGTAATCAGCTTTTGAAACTTTTTTTCTTTATAAATCAGAAGAAATCTCAGAGAGGAATTATGGTGCAGTATGGTTTAATTTCCCCAACTTACCATCAGAGCCACCATTTCCTCCTGCCTCTAAAATGTGTGACTCACTCATGGATGGGTCAGAGTAAGTGTGAGGGACTGGGGTCTGCCAATGCATTGGTGCTAAGCCACAAAGGTGTCAGAAGCCTCATCAACCTCATCAACCCATGTTTTAGTTTTAAAGCATAAAAAAAAGGATAAAGGTACAGTGTTTAAAGGTTCCTTTAAGAGACTAAAATTAAATGAAAAATGACCGTGATGCTGATGGTCAACTGAAACGCCGGCGACAGCCACTTAGCCACAGCACTATGAGGTACACCAGTATCAGTTAAGTCACATGTGCGACCACAACCCCCATAAAACTGGCTAAAGTGTAGGGAAACTCCAAACACTTGTGCCACAATAACAATAAACACTAATATTTACTTTGTCTCCAACGCCCTGGACCATTTCCCACTGGTGCAAAGTCTTCTTTTCAAAAGAAAGTGGCGGTTTCATTTCATTTGGAAATCAAACTGCAAGAGTCTGAAGAGGAACTAAATCCAGGTTGCTTGAGGTGCAGAAGTTTTTACAGTCAGTTGAAATTTGGGGAAACATGAGAATGTGGTTTATAAAGCCCAAAGTGTTCCTCTTGGGTAATTTAGAGCAGGGATCTTCAAGCCAAGGACCCCCAAACTGATGGTGAGATGGAGCGGGGGACCCCCTAATTATATATATTGTATGAAATTGTGTTATATCAAACTGGTCCTATAGTCACTCTATTACAGATGGAGTAATGTGACAAAGTAATTTCACCCTGGGATTATTAAAGTATTTCTGATCCTGATTCCTCATTGATGGGACAGGTGTTGAGAATGAAACGGTGGCCAGCTTTGAAAGAGCTCCTGTATGTCGCTGAATGTGTGCATTGGTGACTAAAAGACATCATCTGCCATGTATCGTTTACTACAACGTGTTGAATTCATGTTAATGTGTTTTTAAACACATTTCAATTAGTGGAAAAAACGCAGTGGGGAATATAAAAAAAACCCCAAAAAAACAGTCTAATCAACCAAAACTTTCAAAACCCCCATGTAGTACCTCGGTGGCCCCCCTAGGGGTCACAGACTCCCTGTTGAAGACCTCCGATTTTGAGCATTCCATGCTTCCCTCTACTGACAAGCTGCCCTTACCTGAACTAAAAGACCTATAAAGTTTAGTCAAGATGAAGATGATAACGCCAGATCCACGCTGGGTGAGTGTTTATGATATCACCAGTGTGACGGAAATCAGGGAAGTAAATAATGGAGAGCAACATATAAGGAAGCCACTGTGTAGTAAGTGTGCTTTATTGTTTCGCACTTTAATCTGTCCAAATCCCTCTCACCAGTGCTGCGCCATGTTTATCGAATGTAAGCAGAGCTGTTTTGGCTTGTTAGATCAGAAGCATCTGGCGCGATGTGTTGACGTTCTTATGTTGCGTTCAATGGTGTCAAGTAATTTAGCGGATCAACACGGCTCTGGTGTTCCCACAGCATGCCGATCAGAGCAGAGGCAAGTTTAAAGCAGGTTGCTCGCCGAGTCGTTTTACCCGGGTAGACAAGAATCAGTGAGCCATTCCCACTGCCAACAAAAGTTGATTGTTCCCGGATTTAAACAGGTTTTTTGGCCTGTAGGAATGTGGCATTCATGCATATAGAATCCACACCAAGTACAGAGCATATATATATTTCACAGTACATTGACACATTGCCAGTAGGTTCAAACCTATCAAGCGTATTTTTATAGTTCCAATTTCATGTTATAATTTTCCCTAATTTATATACATTTTTAGATTTGAATTACCTATAAAACTATCAGAATTACTAGAAATATACAACTCTTTGTGCAGGAGATTTATATAACATAAGTTTCACTTTCTGAATGGAATCACTAAAATGAATTAATTTTCAATCATATTCTTAACCATTGGGGGTGCACTTGATAAATGAGAACAGTAAAAAACACTAATCTTACCATTTTGGTCTCAGAGTGAAGACCATATCCAGATGGGGAGGAGGAACCACTGCTGGCTCCGCCTATAGGAGGTCCTGGGATCCCAGGGATGTTAGGCACTGTGTTTACCGTCCTTGCAAGCTTCCACATAACAACAAATTTTTACAAACAAAACAAAAAAGGGTAAATAAAATGGAAAAGCATTTTTTGTTTTTGTTTATTCTTCTATATATTCACTTACAGATATAACTGAAGTCATCTGTACAGGGCTGGGCAGAAGAGGGACCGCTTGCCCATTAGAGAGGTGCCTCACCAGTGGATATGCACTTGTGGGAGATCTGTAAAAAAAAAAAATAAGCATGGTTTTAGCCCATTTGATAGATTTTTTTATTTTTTTTTGTGCAGATTGTATGAGAGCTTGATCAAACTTTCAGTGTTTATCTAAAAATATATCCTCAGCACAATAGAAAGGGGTAAAAGAGCAGGTAATTTACCCAAGCTGCCTGTTGGAAGGTGGAGCCTGTGTGATCACGGATGTTGGAGAAGGCAGAGTTGGATGGAGCTGGTCATTGGTCAGGTGAAGGGGAAGAGACCCCGGTCGAACAATCGTTGGAGTTGGAGCAGAGCTTACCACGGGCTTATTGAGAAACTCCTGTAAACAATAGATTATGCACTTTATCAGGATGCATTAGCAGTGAATATATAAGGCACTAATTGAGCAGTGCAACCCATGTATCTTCTCACCCGTGAGTCCCTGCTGTTCTCAGACATACTGGAGGAGGAATCTGGACTGTCAGGGGGAGAGGAATCAACTTGTAAGGACGACTCGTCCTCATCTTTTACTTCGGAGGGTGTTTGTGAAGGTGCAGCCTTAAAGAGCAGAAACGCAAAAGGAAAAATGTGAATGCTGATAATTCAGGTGAAATAATGAAAAGGCGACTCAACTGAATAAGCTGAAACTGAATAAACCTGTGTACTTACAGGGTGTTTTGTTCTCTGCTCGTCTTCCTGTGTTTTAGCAAACTCCTGATCAAAGGAACCAGCCAGCTCGTTGAATAGACCGACCTCCTCACAGTTCTTCAGGAAACGTGTGGGGGTTGGGGTCTGGTCTGAGACCAAAAATAAAAAAAGGAAAAGACATTAGTTACATCTTTGTTAGGAGAAAGCATATTCCTTAAGCCACATATTGCATAAAAATATATTAACAAGCTGTAGCACTGACCTGCAATAATAACAGAGTCTGTCCTGGCAGGACCAAATTTTAAAGTCATTTCATGTTTGTGTTTGTGGACTGAGAGGTGATCTTCATTTGTGAATCTCTGCAAGAAGAAAAAATAAGTCAACAGCAGGAAAACAGATGTATAGATAGAAGGAAAGAATATTTAATCTTCTACAATTTAAAGATGAATAAGAGCCTCTGCTTAATAAGTAGATGGTTAATAGAAAAATAATGTGAACAGGTGATATGTTACCTATTACTTTCAAAAGTTTCACCAAAATTCCATCCTATGTTATTTCTATTAGCCTTAAATTATAAAATATGCACCCTCGCACACTTTTTAAATATAGAAAGTATAGCAATGATTATGATTTTGAAAAGCAGGTACTTCAAGAAGGATCTCTTTCATATGAAATCAAATGACAATAAAATAGAGGCAACTTATTTTATTCTAAAGTTGCAATTTTATTTGTTTTTTCCAATCATAACGCAGTGATAATATGGTGGTGCATATTTGTGAACGGGATGGAAAGGATACATAGTTTTCAAACCTTTATAACCATATATCTAATAAGTTGTGTTTTGCATTTACTTTGTAGAACTATCTTTTGCTGTATTTTTTAAATTTTTGCTGTAATTTTAAAATGTAGCCAAAAGTCTTTTAGGATATGCCTGTACTAGCTTTGCTCATCTAGTGAAAAAAAAAAAAGGTTCAAGGTTGGGAGGAGTGCATCTGTGAATATTGGTTTTCATGTCTAGACCTGGTTTTTTAAATTTAATTATCTCTGAACTAAATTTATCTCTGGCTGGGTGATTCTAACAAATGGCCTTGCTCTGGTCTAAACCATTCTTTTATAGCTGTTTAAACTGGATTAAAGCTAATCAAAGGCTAATTCTGGCATGTTATAGGCGTACCGTTGTGGATATGCAACACTCTACTAAATAAATACATTTCAAATTAAAGCTTTGGCTAAATGTTTAGCATCTACAAGGTTTTCTACCAGAAATCTCCTTTGTTCAATTACAAGGCATTTAGGGTGAAATGCAGTGTTACTTTTCCTTTTATAGATTTTTGAAACAAAATCAGAAAAATCTTCTGAAATGAGCGTTGATACTACGTTTTTTTTGTTGGCCGAAGAGAGTGGCACAACATTTAATCCCACGCTTCAACATATAGCCATTGCCAAACAGTTGACAACAATGGCTCTCTTTCAGAAAAAAAAAAAAAAAAAAGATTTGTGGCTCTGCTATCATGATGTGTTACAGTCACAACTATGCAACATTTGGTCTTGTATAATTATGTAAATTCTCCTTAAAATGAACTGAATTTTCTGTTGCACTTTGATAGAAAAGGAAAAAGTTTAAGGAGTATTAATACATTTGGAATGGTCTATCAATGATCTTTACTGTTGACAGGCTGCAGCCATATCCCGGAACTTGGTTTCCAGCCGCTTTTGTTGATATTTGCATTTTCCCGTTCTCTAGCTTCCTCTCAGCCTCAAGCTTCTGTACGGCTTTACGATAAACCATAAGCAGTTCCGTGCAAACATGAAATTGTTTGTATAAACTTTTTTTTTTTTTTTTTTAAATAAAGCATTTTAAATGCCACGATAATCACATTTAATGAATGTTAATGTCAATTAAGGCCTTAAATTAAAAAAATAATAATTTAATGACTTTTAATAACACCCAGAAACCCTGATGACAGCTAAAGTTTTTTTTTTTCAAGCAGAATTATTATACAGGGTTATTGCACAGGGTTATTTACATGAGTATTTATATAAATAGGTATTTATCTACATAGCTATTGCACTGGATATCAAATATAAAGAAACAGGTTATTGCACAGGGTATTAAATAGTAATTGCAGATTATACATTACAAATGAAATTACATGACAACGCATGGGTTCCAAATGGTTGTAAGAATTGGTAAACGATTGATTGACCCAGAACGATTCTAGTGTAATGGCATTTAATATAAATGTAATGGAAGGAACCTAAGTTCTTTCTGTAAAGAATTACAGTCAAAAGGATTTAACCAGGGGGGTAGTATGGATGAGAAATTTTACCTGCCCACACCCAGGGGCCGTGCAGACAAAGGGTCGATCATCCCCCATCTCAAACAGCGTTCTGCAAGGAAGTATAAGACACAAAAACATTAGGCTTTAAAGGGAATTTCAGTGAAAACTGTTAATAGAGGACATTTTCTTTTCCTCTATGCACTTTTGAAATAATTGGAAAAGTATCATTTAAAAGGTAAAATGTTAATTATAGAAGATGTCATAGAGGACTACTTTATTTTAATGTTATGACAACATTAAAAGATTTAGTGTTTCCAACATGTCTTTGACACAGAACAAAACAACTGTAAAAACTTGGTTATATGTTGAGGAAACAAAACTGATGTTCCTCATCTTAATAATCCATAACTTTGGTGTAAGAAAGAGCTACACTGTCAGATTATTTTAATAAATTATAAAAAGACAAAAAGGACAGTGTAACAGTACACAAACTCACTACAAAGGGCTAGGGGGTATAGACTTAAAATTGTACAATAAAAGTAAGGTTAAAAAAAAAACTCTACATTATGTATGGGATGCCAAAACAACCATAGCCCGGCAATAACAAAAAATAGGTCTTTAAAAAAAATATACTGATTTAAAATGGGCTTCTTCAGTTCACCAGTTACATAAAGAAGTATGATTTATATCACTAAACATCTCATTGTAAACCCATATAATCTTAATCTTTAAATATGTCAATGACCCAATGGAGAAAAGAAAGAACCTAAAATAATAAAAATGCGCCAATTTTGTGGGGAGCTTTTAAACATCTTTAATTATTTTTATATAGACAATCAATCAAAATGGGAAATTTATCACAATAATTACAAACAATACAATAAATGCCGACCCCCACTCCTTCCATAACTTTGGCTTTCTCTCTCCTTATATTCTGAACTATGCTAATGTAAACTGGAAATCCCTACCATCCTGTTGAATCATCGACTGATGTATGTCGATATACAAACCCAATATAAATTTGGAAATCTCAGTCGTCATTAAATGACAATGTTGAAAATGGTGAATCTGCAATAAAGTGTGTCAATAGTATGACCAAGCATTAAGGTTGAAACAATTAATCGATTACTGAAATAATCGTCAAATAATTTAATAATTGATTAATTGTTAAATGGAGTTGGAGACTCTAAAACATGCCTTTAGCTGACAGAGGGTCCCACTTAGAGCTGCAATTATATCAAAATTGTAGAAAAATATATAAATCTTTTGTATTTAAGATAAAAAACCAAAAATAAAACGTTTTTGTCTGTCAATATGCTCTACTCAGAACTCCTCAAGTGGAAAAGTTTTAGTTTCACCTGATTTAATTTCACACAAAAAAATTAGTTGAAGAATCTTTGGCTATCAGATTATTAATAAAAATAAAAGAACCGATAGCTTAATCAATTTGAAAAGTAATCGTTAGTTACAGCCCTACCAAGCATAACAACGGAAAACAATAGGTGAAGCAAATTACCCAATGACTTAATAACAACACCGCTAGTGGTTGGGATACACTGGACAACAAATTAACCTCAAAATGTTAGAAGCTAAGGAAAACAACATGCATCTGGGTTTTAAGAAAGTCTGAAAAGATCCAAATTTTGACAATTTTACATTTCAATAACCAAGTATTTTCAAATTGGATGCTATGGAATGTTCCTGTTCTGCAAGTCAGTAACTCATCTGAACCGGAAGCAGGGTCGTTGATGTAAATAGGGACCAGGGTTGAGTGGTCAGAAACACAAGAGCTGCTGTAGCTCAAACTGCAAATTACTTTATCTGATAAAACAAATCCAACTTGTGTTTAATCTAAACTGAAACACCAAGCAAAGGAGTACATTTATCAAAATTGGGCTGAAGTGGTATCAATGCCACTGTGGAGAGGCTGCAGATTTGCACCTATTAGGGATTAGGGATTGCATCCCAATTTGATGCAAAGCTACAGACCAGTCAGGTGCACACTGTGATTGTGTCTACAAGTGAAAGAGCCAACATTGCTCTTGTGAACATCTCTGAACTGCATCATAGAGCACACAAAATACAGAGGTAGAAGGAATGGTAGATTATTTTGTGTCATCCAGATGTTTTTATGCACCGCACTCAGATAACAAATGGCCCCAAAGACAGTTAAGGTTTGATATTTGTGACGACTCTGCTGCTTTTTCCATGTAGCTGTCATCTTGACTCATTCTATCCACCAGGCTATTGTTGCAAACCACATTCACTCTTTCATTTAAAGAAATGGAGTAGTTTGAAGCAACTTGCAACAAATACGTTTTTTTTGACAGGTTTGAGGTCATTAATTGGCCTTCAAGTCACCAAATCTGAACTATTTGACAGTCCCTGCACATTAAAATCTGATCCTTAGAGGAACTTCAGAGAAACTTTTAGTGGCAAATGCCACACCACACATTCAGGGTCTCTTTTTTTTCCATACTTTAACAGGTCGAGGCGTGTGTGATTTTATGTGATCACTTATCAACTTAGTAACACATTTTAACAGTGCTTCTGTCTAGATCAACACGTCAAATCTGATTAAATACAGAAAATTAACCTTGCACCTGTTGAGACCTAAAACCTGCGATTGCACCGGAAATCCAGATCTCATCGGTAGGTTCAATAGCTTGAAGTGGTCAGTCTAAAGGGAGGGACACAGAGGCTGAACACAAACGGCCTAAATGAAGGGTTTGGCTTTGGATGATAATCAGGGAAAAAGCTTCGAGGATGAGGCAGCACAACCAATACAAGCTAACGTACAACCCACACTGCAGTGTCATCGAGTCGGTGAGCAGTGGCTGTTCTTACATATTTTCTAAATAAAGGTCTTCATATTCAGACAGCAAACTGATTGTGCGATACAGTGTATAATCTTTGCTTGCCATGACTTTCTGAAATATGTTCTGAAACGTATCATATTCTTACCACGTTTATGTACTTCATTCAAAATAGACGTAGTAATATTAGGAATCTGGCATGGTATGGAAATAATTAAAGGCCGAAATATTTAGAAATATTATTTGGCACCCACACATAAGCTAACTGTCTTCGTGCTAACTGCTAAGCGGAGCTCTATAAGCCCACTAGGGGAAATGTACACTACACGTTAGCAAGCTAATGCTAACGAGAGCTGTGGTTATTAACACCTCCGAAGGAGCAAGAATATAACGTGGTTCTTAAACACCAACCTTATGCTCCAGTTTATTCAAAAACAATACAGGATGTGCAATTCGTCCACACTTACCGGACGTTTAAAGTGCCTTTTTACTCCCCCTCCCTGCACCCGGACAGCGCCGCTGGCTGCGATGCTGCTGCTGCCTGTCCGTTGTTGACACTCTGACACTTGTATTAGCCAAATCTCGCGAGAGTTTAATGTTACGTAACAGGGTTGCTTTCTCGCGAAGCGAATGTGACTTACATTTACCATCCATTAATCTAAGTTGAGTTACATTTTAGAAGTTAAAACTTCAGATTTTATGACAACATAGCATCTTATGCAACAAGGAGTCTATTGGTATATAACGAATGCACCAATAAGTTTTTGTCTCCGGTGGGAAAATGGTCCTTTAAATGTTACATAATTATCAGTTATTTCCGGGAGTTTGTTATGGCAGAATATTATGGTATGTTGCTAGAGCTTTGTAAAAAGCAAGACTTGTGTATTTTAACATGATATACACATACGCAGATTTAGTCTTACTTAAAATGCTTTATTATTACACAATATTAGCTTGATAAACCAGTGTGTATTTCAGTAGAAAAAAAAAAGTTTTTGTTTTGTTAAAAGGAACTTTAAATATTTAATGAAATTGGTAGGGTTAAAAGATAAGTAAAATGAACCAAGATCTATACCTTTTACCTAAAATAAAATCTCCAATAAAGTAATACTTGAGCTTGAAATAATATAAGCACTCCTAATGAAAATACACATTTCCCATAATTGGACAATAAACCAGGCAGGACTTTATAGGACGTAATCAGGATGCCTTGTGCTGAAAAGGCACAAGGTTGGCAAAAACATGCTTTCTGAAATCCACAACCAAAATCATAAAAAAAAAAAAAGGAATTTGTATCATCTTGTTTTCCACATTTTAAACAATCACATAAAGCAAAATGAAAATCTTACTCTCAACATTTTTCAGAATTTTAAGCATCTTATAGGTGGATTTCATTGACCACCTCCACAGGTATGTGTTCAACACTGAAACATAATCCCACCCATTCGCTGGTTTTAAATAAGATCAGTGCACACAAATTCAAATCAAGTTAAAAAAAAAAAAAAAAAAAGAAGCAAAGTATCATGTTAGACTCCATAGCAATGACAGCCCTTAAGACAAATAATATATATTCTAAAATTCTACAAAAGAGGAAGAATGCAACAATAAAAAGCTAGAAGCTGAAGCCCCATAGATGGCATTTACAAAAATTTCCTTTTATTAAAATGCAAACTATTTGGGTGAGTTCAAACATGGCAATTTGTTTAAAACGAGAAAAAAAAGGCTTTAAAATTTGACTTGAGAAAACATCTGAATTGCAAATCCAACTTTTCTTTCAGGTCCATCTAAAAATGTTATTTAAATTTTTGTATAACTATATGAAAAAATTAAATCCCAATCGTAGCTTGAGAATCTGACTAAACATGATTTTTTTTTATTTTTATATATGCACTGATTAGCCTCTTGTCCCTTTTTTTGGCAAAAACAAAAAGATCCTTTTAGTCCTTTAGTAGAAAAGAATTCATTAAACCTTGTAAATTTAGTTTAGTTACTTTCCTATTTACAGAGGCAAACCTGTCACCAGATAAACATTCAAATATGATTTAATACAACCATATCTGGTTTTATAAAATATTCTCCAGTTCCAAGACCAAAGGAAGAAAAAAGGACTTATAGGAAATTTAGGATTTAAATTTAGTTTCATGCTACATTTTAGGCTAGAGTAGCTTACCACTGACAATTTTTATCTAAAATTGAAATGTTACAATAGTAATGTATTGACACAACACAAACAATATGTACATTCAAAATAATCATCTGGCAAGATCTTAAATTTGATCACATGCTGCTTTAAACAAGTGCTTAAGTTCAATCATTTTGACACCTTGTGCACTTTTAAGAAAAAAAAAAAAAATACATGTTGAGTGAATATAGCAGTGCTCCACAATTACTGAAGCAGCTAAACTAGTGACCGTATTCCAGCTATAAGAGATACTGAACTAACATTTACATCAAAGAAAAAAAATAAAATAAATGCAGAAAACTTAGTTTTCTATTAAACCAGCACAATTGTACCATGACATGACCATACATTCTAGGGTCCAAAAAAAATTGATGGAAAAAAAAAAGTGACAGAAAATAAAGCAAGCATTACCAAATATCTCCAAACTATGTTAAAACACATTTAAAAAGCAAAATCCAAAAAGGAAAAACTAATTCATTTCCAAATCTCGATTGGAATTCCTCTACAGATGCATCCATCACCATGGAGGAATACATTCAATAATTGCAATCCAAGTAATTTACAATCTGATGCAAAAAAATAAAACTCAACAATTACGGTTCTGAGATCCTCAAATACCAATCCTCTGTTGTTTTATCCCCCGTTTAATGCATTTCATTGTCAATAAATACATCTTTACCAAATAAAAACCTGAGCAGTCACCCTAAATTTAATACACCAGGCTGCTAAAGAGACCTCCTGCAATGATAAGCACAACTTCCCCCATCAGATGATAAAAAAAAAAAAAAAAAAAAAAAAAAAAAAAAAAAANAAAAAAAAAAAAAAAAAAAAAAAAAAAAAAAAAAATAAAAAATAAAAAAATACCCATAATACATTGTCAGGATATCTGTTTAGAAGTACTGCCATATTAAATTAAATTCAAAATTACACACTTAACATTTAAGCACTGCTAAAATAAACATTTTCCTTTAAGGAACATTGACTTTTAAGTCACAGTAAATATTTAAACATATTTGACAAAATCTGTCAAAAGAAATAGATCCATCTGTATTTACATATTTACACATTTAAATAAGGTCTGTAAAGTTCTGAAATGCATTTATTTTTGTAAGGGTGGGGGTACGTTTTGCTCTTTGCCACTGGATTTTGGTCCTCGCTGTGGGGGGAACTGCTTGCTAGCATTCGAGCCCCTCTGATGTTCCCGGATCTTCATCCCGGAACCTTTTGCTCTGGTATGACCGGAAGCGCCACGGAATGTACGGGACAGCTGTCGAGAAGGTTTATCTCCAACTTTCTCAGCACCTTTTTTGGTGTTCAGCTGAGGCTCCTTAACAGTATTGACCTTGAGTTCTTTCAGAGGGTGGTTGGGGGAAGTGACAGGAGGCAAGGGGGATGGCGTCTCTGCTTGCGGTGGGTCTTTGGCTGGTCTCTGGCACACCTCAGCATAGCTAAGCTTTCTTGACTCCTGCTTAAAACAAACAAAAAAAAAAACAGATTAGGCACAATAAATCTGAAACGTAATGATGCACACTGCACTGTAGATGTCTGGTATAATGGTAGATCATGGAAGCCCTTAAACTATTTAACAGAACTGCATGAAGAGTGAACAAGTGTGAAAATGCGAGTGTCACATTTAGAGATCTAGCTTACCCATTCTTGCTCTGATGACTGTTTTTGAGAAACAGTTTTACCGCTCACACTGGGGGGTGTTTCTGGAGTGGTTTTACACTCAGCCTCAGTGGATGGAGCGAGGTCTCCCTGCACAGCAACTGGTTCACCTTCATCTCCTTTGTCTACTGTTAGACATGCACTAAAATTTAAAATAAGGAAAATGAGTCTTTATTATTAATACATTTTATAATAAAAAGTGATTTGATTGCTGATTATTTACCCTGAATCTGGCGGTGTTGCCATTTGCATCTCAGCAACAGCTGGTGTAGTACACGGGGAGGTAGAATCCTGTTTGTTAGCAGGACTTTTAGAGCCTTTTGTGTTAACAGCTAATATATTTTCACGATTTCCTGTCTGAAATGCAATTTAGGAAAGAAAAACCAAATAAAAATTACAATCATGCAGCGAAATCAATCCATTTCAGCATAACTGCTATGAAGAGGGATAGTTACCTTGGCTTGAAGCTTTAGGCCACGGACGACATCAGAGAGGCGTACCTCTGTCACAGTTTCTCCCTGAACAGGGACCACAGACCCTGGCAAAGGAGGGAAGCTAGAGCCTGCCAGGTCAAAATTAGGAGGGGCTGCCTTGGCTTCCATCAACGGGACAGGTTTCTGTTTCATTTAAAGAAAGTTAAAAACAAAGAGAAGCAAAAACATATTTTGGAAAATGGATTTTAAAAGGGGACGGAATGCCTACCGTGGAAAACTCGTCTTCTTTTTTCCTTCTCATGCCTTTGTGGCCATTCCTCCTATGTAAAAAAAGATCAAAAGAGTTGGGGGGGGAAAAAATTAAATGGAAAACCAAACATATAAAGCTTAGGCATTACATATCAAGTAGAAACAATGAGTGTCAAACTCCAATTGATTTTTATTCCCCAGTTAAATACAAAATAACTTTTTAAGAGCGGGAAAAATGACAGATAAAAAAAAAAAATAAAAACATAACTCAAACACTCACTGCATTATATATTGCTGCATTTCGTAGGAAATGCTAACATCTTAAATTTCGTTCTACTAATAAAGACTTTAGCTGACCTGTCTCTTCCTGCACGGCCCTGATCTCCACTGGATGTCGAGAACAATGAGGACGCCTCTCTAAGGTTGAAGGCAGATAAAGCAGACTGTGCCGTTGGACCAGAGATGCCATTCATCATTGTCCCTAAAGCCAAGTTAGATGAAATAGGATCTCCAGGTCTATGATGTCCTTTGACATGGTTCCTAACAAGAAAACAACATGCATTAATAGTGAAAATTAAAAGCTACAGTTAAATGTAAGCAGTTCAAAATGTTTAAGAACAAAGAATAAGCCAATGTATAAATAAAAATGAAATATACAGGCATGTTAAACCCATCTTTACAGCAAGATAGGTACATTGGCAATTCTAAAGGGTCATAACCTAGGACTGCCAACAAAGTAGCAAAGTAGTTTATTTGAGATGAGCACTAAAACAGAGTAGAAGATGTTCAAATTATCTGAAAGTGTTTTAACTTTATAACTCAATTTGATAAAATGATGCAATGTGCATCAGCGCAATTATCTTCATGAAAGACGTCACCCAACTACTTAAGGATGAATCTAAACCTATTTATTGCTTCAGCATGTAAACATTAAGCTCACACTTTAAGTACTGAAGCTTAAAAGGGAAAAGAACCAGCTGGTATTACCCATTTAATTACAAAATCATTCAAAACCAGACATGAAAGAGATCTGTATCATAGTTTGCATGTACCTGTTCCTGCCATTAGGACGATGGCCATTGACCGAGCCAGAAGTTAGTTTGTAGTTCCCAGGACTGTTGTATCCATTCACGAATCCAGCATTGGGGAAAGGGGCCTACAAAGATCGTTTAAAATAAGAAATAAAATTTAAAAAAATCCATCCATACAAAAAATGTTAAAAAGGAGGCATCTACCTAACTAGGTTTGAGATTTTTTATATATATATTTTTTAATCAGGATTCTGTATTGAAGAGGACAAAAACTTTATCTGAAAAGGTACAAAAAAAAAAAAAAAACCTTGTACAGTACTCACCAGTGGCGTTTCAAAGTGTGGCACAATCGAGGGGTTCCAGGTAGGAGACACCAAAGGGTAAACAGGATACTCCTGCTGAGGGCTGTACACCGGTGGCATATACACTGGAGGCACATACTGGGCCTGTGGTTGGCCTGGCTGCTGGTACACCCCTCCATTCTTCCCAAAGAATGTATTTATGGCCTTAATGCGAGCCTAAAGAGAAAAAAAGCTGTTGGTTTTTTTTTTTATGTACAAGAACAGCTCTAGAAACTTTGTGTTGTTGCTTTATTGTCGTTTTATCCCCTCAGATCTCATAATCTCACGGTCATGAGGCCATAAAACACTGCTATAACAAGGGGAGAGGAGAAAAAGAAGGGTAAGGAGAGGAAAGGTTGAAGGGAAAGAGTAGGGCAAGTAAGGGAGGAGGTAAAGCAGAGATCAAGATTTATGTAGAGTAAGTGAAGGTCCTCCTGGATAGACAGTGCATATGGGTCCTTCCAAGCGCGATACTGATCATCACTGGGGACAGGTGAACAGAGGCCTTGCTAAAGGATTATTCACCTTTGACTTGTACGACATTAAAACTTAAGTTTGCATACATTCTTTGGAAATGTGACAGATCAACCCAATCAAAGTCATGCATTGTCAAATTGTAAGTCACAGTATTATAAGGAATTGTTTAGTTCCCTGCATGCTTATTCGGACATTTTTACTTAGGGACGTGGTCATTTTACTGTCAACTATTTAGAAATCAAGCCTCTGAGAAAAGTTCACACCGTTATTTATCCGCACACAGGATTCTATATTGTACCACAGGGTCTGACCTTCAGTGCCATCTTATAGAATGACATATTTAAAAAGAATCTGATGTATACTCACTGCTGTAATGTACACTGTGTTAAACTCGTATCAAAACAGTGTGCGGAATTCAGGCAAAAAAACCTGGTTCTGATTTATGTAATTTCTTCACAAACCTTCAAGGCCTTTATAGAACAGCTGGATATCCTAAGATTTAAACAGACTACATGGGCCATCTAAATGATCAAGTCACTGCTTATTTTGGCTTAACTCATCTTATCCTAACAAAATACACCAAAATTTGTGGTTCAATTGTGGAAAAAATATGAAACAGCCCAAAGTATTGAAAGAGCTTTGAGAACTGTAGAACTGACCTTTTTTTACATAATTTATTCTACATACGCAGTTGGCTTTGTTGTGGATAGGTGGGACAAAAAAATGGGAAAAGGGATTTACAGTAATCACAATGTGCACAAGAATAAGGTGATGTTGTTAAATGAAACATGACTGGGCATTGTTCATTTTAGACAGACCACCTCTCTTTATAAGGCATTTATCCACCCAAGGTAAAACTAAGGATAAATCCCACAAGCCTTTACATGATTAATTAACCTGCTTTTCCATGACACATGAAAATGAAAGTTGATCTTGAATCTTTCAATTTAACATCAATTTTTTTTTTTTTTTTACCATGATGGGTTTCCCTTTGAAGACTTTAACTTCCTCTCGTAGGTACCTGTATGCCTGAATGAGAATCAAAAAAGAAAAGGAACAAATTTTCACTCAACAGCTATTTTTTTTTAGTTCATAAAAAAAAAAAAAAAACTGTCCCCTAAACCGAACTGATGATTATGCTCAAAATGTATTTTTTTTTCAAAGTCATCATATTTACCTATTTTCTATTGAGAACTACCAAAGCTACCAGTGCTTTAAAAAATGACTAAGAATGAAGGACTAGATTTTAAAAAGATAAAACAATTGTGGCACTATAGGGCAAGTTACCATTTCTTATCACTTACAAACATTATTGAGCATAGTTAACAATTATATTTAGGTTTATAAACAAAAAAATGGTATGAAAATGTTGATTTTCAAAATATATCACTTAGTGCCCTATAAAGGGTTAAGTAAAATCTATAAGTATAATAATCAAACTAAAGAAATTAGTTATAGCGTACCTGCAGTGCATCCATATCCGACTGAAAAGTTATGTACCAGTTGCTGTTGTGAGCAAACTCAACACCCAGCAGTTTTGGACAGTTTTCATTCTTGAAAAGAGCCTCTACCTCCTATTGAAAAAAATAAATGCAATATGGATTCAATATCAAAGAATATTACAAACTCAACTATAAAATAGCATATTTATTGAGATGAATTTAAGGCACAAAAGAAACACTAAGCAGGCTTAGATCTGCCATCTCCGATATCTGACTTACAACAAGCTTTCTAAATTAAGTTGCAAACAGTGGAGGGGGGAGCACCCATGAGCACTTAGCAGGCTTTACAGTTTATTTACTCAATCCAGAAAACGGCTTAGTATGCAGCAATTTTTACCTCAACTGGTGTAGTCTCTGGCACTTCCCTTAAAATAATGATACAGCGGCTGTGGTTAGGTCGAACTTTCTCACCAGCATCATCAACTTGCACTAAGGGAGAAGCTGTACAAAGAAAAAAGAAGAAGAAAGAAAAAGACACCACTACATAAGCTTTATGTCAATAAGGGTACGCTGGGTTAAAATAAAAGCTGTTAAAACCACTATGCAATTAGATTTCCCCATGTTGCTGAGGATTTTAACTGTTAAAGAAAACATTTCGTTGATTCATTTTATGTCTTTTTATCCTCAAAAGGTAGAGTTAAAATAAAGGTTTATTTATATCAATGTCTACCGTAAAAATTGTGAGCCTGAGGTGTAGATCATAAGGTGTAGCCTGAGGTGTAGATCACAAAAGATTTTAGGACTAAATTATGAAACAAGTTTCTTCAACTACAGAAAATTCAGCAGTTCTACCACTTATTTAATGACTGTTATTGTGAAATAGACAGCCTGCCTGAAATCACTGTAATTATACCATATATTCTGACAATCCTGGTTTTGTGTACTTAGTTGTGATACATACTTGTTTACTGCACCACTTCACGGTTCTCACTTAAAAGGCTTGATAGACAGTTTACTGTGTAGTCCCACACCAAATGCTAACACCAAGCTCCTTTAACAAGCTCGGCCCGCCAGACTAATTCACGCCGCGTACATTAGTCTGGAAAGGAGCTGGCAGACCCTGATTTCAAAGGAGGGACTAACAGATGTGATGCAAAAAAAAACCTCACAGCAATCACTTGTTGTAATGTTAACGATATTAAGAGTTCTTTGGGGACATAAAGTACATCATTAAAACATCGGTCCGTTGCAGCTTCAATCTCGACTGTCTACCACTGCAGTTCAGCATAGAATAAAGTTAATGCAGTCTGGGGAAGGTCTGATGATGTTTAAATTGATGTTTCCTCCAACATAATTTTAAATTAAAGCTACAGTACACATGAAATAAAAATGTGTCATTGTGATTTAATTGACCACTTGTAAAATGGCTTTGGGTGTGTTAATATAGTTCCAAGGAGATGCTTTAGCACTCTGCATGCATGCAGTGCCTTTGAAAAGATGGACTTTCACTGCTTTTGAAGCACAAACTTGATAAGTTGACAAAATGCTTTAGTTACCCAAAAGTGGTGGGGAAAATGTCCCAATGAAATAGAATGGGGAATGAAACTGATTTGTCAAATCCATAAACCATACTTTTACTATTCCAAGTGCATTAAAGAGGTTATGAACAGTAAAAGTTTAGAGACAGAATTCGACTTCCTTCCTCAACTGTCACAAATATAACAGTTAAGACATAGAACAGTTTTTCAGCCTTTGGCGAGGCTTTCAACACAGTTTACGCTTTCTCCATCAAACGTTTACATGAATACGTCAACAGCATCTCCACAAGCATTATTTTATGCCAATTACGACAAGCAAAGTATTGTCAATACCTCTCAATACTTCCAGAATCAGATCCATATCAGTGGTGAGAGCTTTGATGTCCTCCATGCAGGCAATTGTCCAGATAGGAATAAACTGATCACCATCCATCTGGGATATCAGGTAAAGATCCTTAGAAAGGTTCTCTCTGAAAGAAATTTGACATTTTATACAGCATTGTTTTCCACTTCAACTCAAACTCCATTTGAATAATAAATTCTTCCACACCATTTCCAGTTAGAAATCACAAAACTTCCTGTAAATCGTGTTTAAAATTGTCTGACTTAAAACCACGACCTTGCAATGCAGACATGGGGAATTATTTCCTGAAATAATCATGTTTGAATTGATAAGTATGCGTAAAAAAAAAAAAAAAAAGGTTTCAACACTTTCAGTTGCAACACAGTAATTTTGGTTAGTTCCCCTGTTTTTTTAAGCCATTTCCAAATACATACAAAGCCTTGAGTGAGGCAACAAAGATGATTTACCTAGAAAAGCAGAACTCCAGTCGCTTTTTTAATGACTCTCTTACGCTCTCCTCAGTCACTGCTTCTCCCTCAGACAGTTCAGCGTGTGTGGAGGGATTGTCCTGTTGATCGTAGACCAAATACCCCAAATCTGGAAGCTCCACATCATTGTGTGTGAAGTATTCCTCAGGGCTATTCAGGTAGTCCATAGAGTATCCTTTACTCTCCGGAGAGAACAGCTCTGAGAATCCTAAGGCAGAAAGTCTTTTATATTAATGCTCTGCTTCGATATGTTAATAATCAGCTGAACGAGTGCCGATTTTGCCTCTGCACAGACACTTAAGGCCCAAAAGTCTACTCGTTTCTTCATATTTTTTATTTACTGAGTTAGCAGCAAATATTGTACTCAACCCTCATAAGACACTTTTCAATATCATACAGACATAAGACATTAGATGCTTTATAACAGCAACATGAAAACAAAAAGAACAACTCCCAACAAGATGCATACCATCAGTCATCTCACCAGAGGAAGAGTTTGTGTGCAGCCAGGAGGAACCATCTGATACTTCTGGGATGTCGTTCTGTTGCGTTGGGATCTCCTGCCACACTTTGGCATTAGGGTTAAGATTAGTTCCCTTGGTGGTCACCTGCATGGTAAGGATAGAGATGATGAACAGACTGCACACACAACAAATAGCTAAATAAAGTATGCAGCAAAAGCTGGGGAATGTGGAACAGTTTACTACCATCTCAATATAAACTTTAAGCTACAAAAATCATGCAAAAAACAATAAAAAAATAATAATTTAAGATTTTTATGAAGTTTATTCATTAGAAGCCTGACAAGAACAAAGTGAAAGAGGGCAGGAACCAAACCAGGTGTGTTTGAGTTTAGGGCTGTCGCCTCAACACAAACCACATTCTCTGTTTGTTGCTCTAACTGTATGTAGTGATAAATTTAGCACCACAACATTTTTGACATTTGTTTCCATTCCTACAGTACATACTAAAAAAACATTGGTATAAATCTGTACTTAAAGTATAAAGTAACCTATTAAAAAAAAAAGAAAAAAAAACAGCCGGATGCCACTATATGAATTGAAAGCTCAATTTTCAGCTAAGGATGAGGGAGGTCTTGTTGGTTCTGTACTTCCGATACGTTCTCACCTGTGTCCACCCTTTCAAATATTTCAACATCTTTTTCTGAATACGGAATTGTAGCATAGAATAGACAATTCGCGTTTGCAGTTTGAAGAACACCTGCTTTCTTCTGATGATTTCTTTTAGCTAACCAATGAGTGTTTGAATTATACGACTCATCCAATTACAGTAGTTTTCACTAGATTGGGATGCGTCAATGATCTGCATTGGATGGCGCACATGACGTGAAATAAATATTTATAAACATTAAACCAAAGCCAAGAGAAACGAGTAACATTTGTTTTTAAAATGTAAGGAATAGAAAGTAGATACTTGTATCAAAAAGTACTTAAGTACAGTATTGACAACTCTGATCATTACACACGTTGACACTGGGTAACAGATTGCCAGTGAGATATATTAAGACATGTACATGAACGTTTAACATCTCAATATTTGCACCAACTTTAAAAACCCCAAGCAAACATAAAGAGTACGGAATAGCAGTGCACCCACATAGAAAAGTAAATATCAATAGATTAGATCACGGATACATTTAATTTAGGGTGAAACACAGTTGAAGAAGTTGAACAACCTTGCATTTTGACAGCCTATTGTTCAATCACACAAAAGCATTGGCTAAATTTAATCACATCCAATCCATTGAATGAAGTAATCGTAAATCCAGCTTTACACATTGAAACGCCAAACCCAGAGCTCCTATTGGTTTGCTTCACCCTAGCCCCGCCCCTCTGTCTTCACATGGATCAGTGCTGAGCGAGTTGATCCGCCTGGAAAGCTCGCATTTCACAACGTTAAGCAACCCGTCATCCCATCAAAAGACATGACTCTTCTGTATTTGCTACGTGTTAAAATGTTGCATGTAAAAAATCCACCTTGTAGACTAACCCTGATTACAAATCCGCAGCTTTGCCTTTTTAATAAACAGAAAGGAAAGGAAAACGACTTAGACGTTTGAGAGGAGCACGTGGCGTCGACATACTGCTAAGAGTTTTGGAACTTGCATATACGCCGAAAACCTGTTTATACCACTCGATTTAACCATACATGTTGGTGATAAGCGACAACAAACACGTTGAAACCCAACTAACCCATTTTTAAGAATAAAGTCCCCGTCGACCTTCGGTAGACACGCAGCGGCTAACATTTACCCGATATCACGTGCAGAAGTTACAACACGTGTAAAACCCGAGAAATCACTTCATTTAGCCTTTGAGCAAAACATTTTTTCCCAACAATCCTGGAAAGCAATAATGCGTATTAAAAATGACAATTTGATTCTCAGTAGTGGTGTTTTTTAAAGTACCATATGTTAACTTTATAACATCAACGTCACCGGCGTTTAGCTAACTAGCTAGTGTTTACTACTAGCAAACCAGCTGTAACCGGCCTGACTTTACTTTTCCATCCTAATTTGTTAAAAAGGTTGAATTAAAAGCAGTTCAATGCTGAATCTTCTATTCTCTATTAGACTCTCGGCGTCTTAAACGTTGACAAAACACACAAGGAGCTGCCGAGTATGAACGACCTTCACGTAGCACAGAGTGAAAGAAGCAGAGAAGACTGAACTGAAACAGGTTGGCAGTCATTAGCCGAGGTGAAAGAGCCTCCAGGCCGCACACTTACCATAATAACTCGATATTCGTCCTCTACGCTGGTCAGTGCTGCTGAATAGAATTTATGCAGACCACTTTCTTCCGTATAAATCTTTAAATATCTTGATTTTTTTTGTATTTGTAGTCCTTTTCTTTGTCGGTTGTAAATGCGGTCTCAGCACGCTGTGGTCCCTCTGTCGCGCGCGTGCTCAACTTTCAGCAGTTAGTCTCGCGCAAAGCAACTTTAACCAGTGACTATCAGTTAAACGGCACTTTCGCTAAATCTCTAAAGATGTATCCGCCTGTAACATTAGTTGAAGTAATTCTCTATTAATTTCTCATGTCTAACTGAGAGCCACGCAGCGGTTAATGCAGCGTGTGACAGCTGCTGCTCCTTCTGACTGCACCCCGCCCGCTCCCACCTTAAAAACAACGAAACGGCTGCGACGAACCTCCCTGATGAGGAGGCAGTTCCCCGCTGCTGGAGAGGATGTTGATGTAACCATGAGAAACACCGAACTGCCTTGATCTTAGAAGTTTTGCATTTTTACCCAAGGATATGGGAACTGGCAAATTTAAGTCTCCCCCTTATTTCCATTAAGCAAACTTTATGATTCAGCACTTTTTTTAGAGAAGTTGCTTTCATATGATTTAGAGATGTTTTTATAGGTTAAGAATGCCATGCAGATATTTTAAGACATGGGCGGTTCTAGACAGGCTTCAACGGGGGCCAGTGCCCCTGTAAATTATGTCCTGTCCCCTGTACTGAAAAAATAATACTTAAAAGAAATTCTAATGATGATATGCGCTGGAACAGACATGGGCTGCGTTCACACTGCAGGCCTTGATGCTCAATTCCGATTTTTTTTTTACGTTGCCGTTCATATTTTCAAATATATGCGACTTGTATGTGATCTCCTGTGTGAACTGCAGTCCTACAACGCAAGTGTCCTGCATGCACAGTAGAGGACGCAATGACGTCACAGGCCAGCATGCTTTTATTTTCCAGAAGTAAACATGGATGGTAGTGCCAGTGCGCATCTAGTGGTCTTTTCCAACCATAAAAACACAATATTTTCAATATGGCTAAAGATAAATACTGCTCTCTGATTACACGTTTCTTGCCGCGTCTTCATAGCAAGACACAGAATAGTGACCTTTGTTGGGCATTAATGATGTTCAGGTTGGATGAATGCGACCTGGCTGTTTAGACACAGGTCGCATTTGAAAAGATCAGATCCGTATCGGATTCAGGACCACATAGCCAAGTGGCCTGGGTCAGATTGGAAAAAATCGGATTTGTGTTGTTCAGATTGCCATGAAAAGATCAGATCCAGGGCGTATGTGGGCAAAAATAATCGGATTTGGGTAACTTCAGGCTGCAATGTGAACGTAGCCATGGTTACTGATAGGTCCTTTGGATCCATTTCATTTTTTTTCTTTACAAATTATGTTTTAGTGGTGTTGAGATAGGATCCCAGTTTTCATCTGCTAAATGTTTTTTTTTTTAAACAAATGAAAAAAAATGTTTACAGCTGCATTATTGAGTGTTTCTTGAGTTCTAATTAAGATTTTATAGAAAATGTTAATTTGATATTAAATTAAGTGAAAATATGTAAAATTCCTAAATTATAAATGTATATTGACCTCATAAATAGAATTTTAAGTAAACCTAATTGAATAGAAATTTCACTTTATGTAGCTCTCGTAATATATTTGAATCCCTTGTCCTGTTTTTTTTTTAATTTAATGCTTTTTTTTGTGCCCCCCATGAAAACACGCTGGCCCCCTCCTGGCCCCTTGGTACATTTGGTCTAGATCTGAAACTGTTTTAAGAATATATATATATATATATATATATATATATATATATATATATACATACATATATATACATACACAAAAATAGTTTCAGTAATCTAATTCTTAAAGGGATTTTTATTATATTAATTCATTATAGGTTGCATAGATTCAGCCACACATTTTTTCAAATAATGAAAATTAGAGCTAATGAAAAAGGATTTTATATACTGATTAGTGTCCATTTATCACAATATTATTGTAATAAGCATAGGGATATCCAAAATGCTCTAGAGATATCCTAATAGATGACTGTGCTGAACATGGAACGGACTAAGGGCCGGATTTATCAAGATCCAATTTTGCGTGCAGTAATTTGCGCTCGCAAACTGGAATTTTGCGCGAGGGGCTGAACCATGGTT